TAAATTATTTTCCAATAAAAAACACAGCGAACGATAATTATATACTAACCCATGTATCGCCTATTGTACGAGACACCAGCATCTGAATTTCTACGCTTTCTCTCCTCGCCTGCAAACAAATTATATATCATAAAATGTACATTGCGTCTATATTATGAGGCTATTACGAGGATACCACAAATGATATACGAAGACAGTACAGCGGGAGTATCGACCGACGCGCAGCAGAGGTTGATGCGATGACGTACTGCCTGAGTGCAAACTTTGAGGTATCCTCGTAATACTAGTAACCTTATTTTTACACATCTTTTTCTTTCAAGGATACATCATGGGAATGCCGAAATCCAAAAAGTTTGGAACAGAATCAGCAACTTCTTTGTGTGGAGTCCGGTCAAACCCTAGTGGCAGCCATGTTTGTTTTTCATGATTAGAGGACGCTTACGCGCGTAAACATTCCATATTTGGAATTCGCATTTCCTAATATAGTAGAATGAAAATACTCCGTAAAACACCGCAAAATTACGGCACGCTACAACTTATAGCGTTACGGTGACAGATGTATAATAATATATAACAATAATAATATTGATGTGATGTTTTTTATCGAAATTGTTTTACGTTCTTATTCGATAATTGTCTATGTGTTTTCCATTATCGCTAAGCTGACTTTGATATCTCAGTAACAGTAAAAATATATGATTGAATGAGCGGGTCAATACCGAGTTCACATGTTGCTTGTTATCTTGTATTTCGCTTAAATACTTAAATGTTAAATCCTCATGTTTAATTTAACTGCCCAATTAATTCACATACTTTAAATTCACATATTTTAAATTTGAATATGGTTTTAATTTTGATCTTAATGACACACCATAGTGTCAATATCAACATAAATGTAATGTCAACATTGTTGGTAGATATAAAACCGTATTATAATGTCACATGTCACGAGAAACAATGTACCATATAAACACGTACCTTTACCACAGTGCCGGGCTTGATATTCACTTACTCTCTCGGCGAGGTTTGTTTTTCGTGCCACTTTTAATATTTTCGACAGAAAGCTCAAGTTATTCTCTGATATTACTTTAGCTTCTACAAGTGCATGTATAAGTTCTGATGGGTCTTTCATGGACTCGAGTTTCTTCTGTATTTTCAATTTGCGCTGAGATAGGCGTTTCATGATCCGAAATGCAGCTATAAATTATATAAATAACTTGCATAAATTAGTGTTTGAAAAAAATAACAAATGTAGTGCAGTCATATGTATGCAATATATGACAATCTTTGTCTTAATTTAATTAATTATTAAAATCATCCCGACGCTTCGGACCCTTATTCATTAAGTTTTATATATTTACAAAAAATATTGTAACTCTAAATGCCTACTTTTTACAAATTGTTAAAGAAAACAAAATTGATTTTTGTTTGTGTTTTAGCAGGTATGCGTCTACACACAGTAACCATTAACTGTAGCTATGTTTTTGTTACTGGGAATAAAAGTAAGTAATAAAAAAGTTAGTAATATAATAAATGTATGAATATAGTGAAATAGTGAGCAACAGATTCGGGAGAGTGTGATTTTATAACATGCTTAGTCTGGAAGTATATTATCTGACACTTAAACTAAATAAACTTGGCTTGAATATCAACTGGAATAAGATTAATCAATGCAGGGTAACCTGATACAAATAATATTAACTATTGTCTAAAATCTTAAAATTCATACCATAACATACCATCATTTATTTCTGCGCCTATCTCCTCAATAAAAATATCAAAAGGATCCACATCATCATCTTCACTTGTCGATGTACTCATCTTGAACTCTTGTTGTATTTATTATAATATTAGGATAATATACTACCTTCGAACATATATTCGTATATGTTTAAACTATAAAATACATAATATATGGAGAATATTACATGAACGACCATGCAATACCCGATTAATCACGTTCATCGACACAAAATTTACAAAATCAAAGTTCTCAAGTTGCCAAATTACATGAATGAGCAGAATCCGGCAATACAATTCAAATAATATCAGGATCAATTTGTTGTCTTGAATTCAAAGAAGAATGAACATATGTAAGATTTGACTTCAATAACATTATTGCTAAAATTATTCTTGTTTAAGAATTAAAATATTTATATAATAAATATTTATATAATAAATATTGTATTACTTAGTTGAGTTTTCAAGGAGTATGTTTTTTTATTTTTAGTCGGTCACGAATCTTTAGTTGTTATAAATGTTATGATATAAATAGCAAATAATATGGTTTCATACTTGCGAAGTGAAATTAATCCTACCATTTATGTATTTACACCTCACACACAGACAATATTGTGCTCGACACGACTAGCACCTTGAATGCCCTATGGTTTTTAAATATAAATCATCACCGATAGTGAATTTATAACGACTTCGGCATTGTATTTCACAGAGAGGAACAAAGTGGTATGAATTGTATATTAAAACGCGTCTGAATGTAAATAACGCCCACCCCGACAACGCCGTGGATCCAGGGCTAACTTCGACACTATTCCGGCCAGTTAATTAACCGACTACCTGTTCATGGCTTACTGATTCAAACTGCACGTCACATGCAACTTACCTTCGAACTCTTAAGCTGGCTAACATCCACCAATACGAGGCAATTTCTAAGCTCTAAACTAAGGTACATGCAGTTTAGGTGCAGCTACGAAACTACAGACACGGAAGTTTGAAAAAATGTTGCAGCCATTTTGAAATTACGCCCTCTGTTGGCGAGGATGTGAAATATTGCATAAAAACGAATGCAAATAATGAGTAGGCAATTCATTGGAAGGGTACGCAGCACATGTACTACTATCTTGATACGATATTTAACATCCAATTCTGCGTACTAAGATTGTGTATCGAGGGTTAGTAGTTCATGGTTTCTGACCAGAGAAAGCGACATCAAGTATACACATCTGTTATAACTCGATTAACGTGCGTAAATTTCTACACTTCCCACCTCCTTATTAAAGGCAATGTCACTAGTATCAGTCGTTTATTTACAGTTGATATCACACTTCCTTTTGATTTAACAATATTGGACAAGTCATTTCTATATATTGGCTCAAATTGTGCAAGTTTTTTTTTTTTTCACTAACACTCTCTACCCTTCTACAAACTGATTACTTTCAATTCTGCCACGACTATCATGGTAGAGTTTATTTACAATACTCTCAGCTACCTTATAGTCAAGAGATGGCATCTTTGCTCTCATTTTATGGCTGAATAAGAGTTCGAAGAGACTATTAAAAAAATGCGCATTCCTAGCTTCCAGTTTTTTTCTTTTAATTGAGGAGCACCTAATTACCTTTCTATGATTTGTCATGAATATTGTCACGCAATTTGCTGGTAGGGCTACCCACTCGACAACGAGTTATTCAACACAGTAGATTCAATGAATGAAAAAAATAACCGTTTATTACACACTTACCGTGCAATTGATTGTGTTGGTTCGAGACAAGCCACACATAGTCACATCAACAAAGTAACAAAGCCAGAATGCTAATTCCTGGGCACGAATTTTAATAATTCGCAGTTAGACACTTCGTCCGTTGTTTGTGTTCTGCTGTTTCTGTTTTAGTAAATTTGTTTCTAATTATCTAATTTGCATCATAAATTATACTTTAAAAATTAATCATCACATTCTTATTTTACGCGGATAATGCACAACCCTGAATGAATTTGGATTGACATCCTTGAACAATAATTATCAAACTAACTATTTTTCCACGTGTATTTAAACAATTATTGCATTTGAACACTAAAAACCTGATTATTTTTTAATTGATTTCCCAAATACTAGTTGCCTACTTTGCATAATCATCACATTGCATTGACATTGACATGCTCAGGGTAATCAACAGACGGGATTTATTGTTGTTCCAAATTTAAATTTAATTTATGGTGGTGGTGGTGGATGAGGGCTATGCAATAAATTATACTGCAGTCCACAGATATACAATCAAATTTATTTTCTGTGATTATTATAAACGTCAATACTGTCACATTGTTTTCATATTGTGCATCTCGAATAGCCGATAAATACTAGTTGCCTTGATTCTTGTTTAAAAGGCTATTCTTCAATGTGGGATTAATTTTGAAAATGCCTCTAATACTCGGTCACACGGGAGTTCAATCCAAGCTTTCATCGATATTATATATAATTTATTTATTTGTTAATTTATTCAGTTTGTGTATTGACATTTTTAGTTAAAGCTGATCATTTACATATACTTCATAAATATATATTATTGTTGTGATAATGGGTCAAAAATTGCTTTTTTTATTTTGTTTACTAAGTAATTTGGTGAAATGTTACACGTACTAAGAGTTAAAAATCCATGGAAAAAATGATCCGACTCTCATGGTTACACATATTTTTTTTTTGTAAAGTGTCAATTTTGTGTCATACACGCTGTGGCTTTATTTATGAAATGGTATATAAAAATAATACAAAAATAATTACTGTTAAATTATGTTTTTATTTATAGAGTTTACCCTTCCTAATAATTGTAGTTATGTCCATTGTGTCAACTCCACAATGTAACATAACCATTTTGTAGTTAATTATCGTCACCATGTATCAGATATACCGTACAACACAGCGTATTGTTCCCATTGACATGTTGTCACCACAGTTTGTTTAGCCATACACTCCATGATCAATATGTATACTATAACCATAACAACACATAACATATGTTAACATTCTCACGACGTACAGATGAATAATTATTGTTCAAATTTAATTGTTCAATTTACTTACTAACGTGTGCCTTTTGACACAAGGAACAAGCTAATGAATATGAATATATACAAATATATATCGACCTGTCCAATATTTAGTCTTTAATTTGTTGCTATTCACATTTCAGTCAGTGCTGCTTTGGGCTCAATTAACACTGGTATAGATATCCTGTTATTAGTTGCTGTGCGATTTCTTTATTATGCAAATGGAATCGAAGACCGCTATCTGTTTGGTAAGTTCCTAAATTTTATCGTCGAACGAACATGGGCCTCTGTTAGAAAGCATATTTTCAGAAAATCACTTTGGCACATTCATTCATGAACAAATATACAATTACTTTGTTATAGCGAAGTGTTCACTATAATAAAGAACATAATACATTTTGTTTGTTATGAGAGAGAGAGAGAGAGAGAGAGAGAGAGAGAGAGAGAGAGAGAGAGAGAGAGAGAGAGAGAGAGAGAGAGAGAGAGAGATCAGTATAAAGTTTTCGTTATAAACGAGTGTACTGTGATAGGTATATTTGATGGTTAAAAACCTTTCACTTAGGTAACCGGGATTCGGTAAACACATTGCGAAAACTCAACAATCAGGAAAGGAAACCCACACAGCCATGTCGTACTTG